ACTTCTAACTTATCCAATTTAAAACCAGTTTTCTGACTAACACTTGGGATATTTAATATTGTAATATCTGGATCAAAAACTAAGCTTCCTCTATCTGTTTTTTCTTGTGGTAAAAAAAAACGACTTACAATAGCTCCGTGAGGCCAAACTTCGGGATTCATGGCCTTGTTGAAGTTCCCTGAACATATATTTACTTTAAACGAAGAGTAAATAGTTGGATATTTTGATTGAATCATTTCACATGTTGCTTCAGGAAAATTCACTTTAATTAATTTTGTTAAAGAGTCAGTTGTAGTTTCTTTATTAATTCTTGTAACATGTAGAGTTGAAATTTTTGGAACACCCGTAAACGCTCATCGCTATCTCTATTGCTACCTACTATAATTTTTCTTCGTCCGTTAAACTGATGTCGCCTAGGCTTAATAGTTTTCCATTCTTGATCATTTTTCGCCTCATTTATATGTATTTCATCGTTAGTTGGTTTTTCGCCCTGTACTAAATTAATGAACTGATCAATTTTTAATCTGTTTTGTTCAAAAAGCAGTCCTTTCGAAACATCTGTTTTTGTTATCGTTTGGAAATTCCCTTGTTTATTTACGTCAGGTTTTTTCTGAGTAATTACCAGTTCACTTTTTGCTGCTTTGCCCATAAAGTTTTGTTTGTGTTATTCTTTCTTTTTTTCGGCAATATTTAAATTGGTCTTATAATGTGTTTTGGAGTTAGTAATAGTATTAGTAGATGGCGTTATATGTATCTTTGGTAAATCTGAATTCTCTTTTAATTGTTTTAGGAGAAAAATTAAATCTTCTTGTTCTTGGCAAATAACCCCAATTTTGACAAACTGTTCAAAGTAAGGCCTTTGATAACAGAACTTCAGCAACGCTTTCAAGAGAACTTTTATACAAGTAGAAATGTTGCGGTAGATGAAAGTATGGTTGCTTTCAAGGGGCGAAGTTCTCTCAAACAATATATGCCGAAAAAGCCCATAAAAAGAGGCTTTAAAGTTTGGGTCGTTGCATGCTCCGAAACTGGATACGTGCACAAATTTAGCATATATGAAGGCAAATCTCAATCACAACATGCTGAATATGGTTTAGGCGCTAAAACGGTATTAGACATTACCGAGTCTCTTAGAGGCGCAAACTACTGCATTTATTTCTATAATTTTTTCTCGAGTTTTCCTCTTCTTAAGAAAATGTTAACCTATGATTTGTTCTGCTGTGGAACTTTTAGAATAAATCGTAAAGGCTTTCCAACACAAATGAGAAAGGACAAAACAATGAAAATGGGAGAACACGATTATTTCATGTCCAATGATATGTCTGTTGTTAAATGGAAAGATCGGGGGCGCAAATGCGTTTTAGTCGGCAGCACTATGCATAATCCACTTAAGATTACTTCAGTTTTGCGAAGAAAACCGAATGGTGAACAAGAAAGTGTTAAGTGTCCAAAAGCCATAAGTGATTACAATCGCTATATGGGTGGAGTCGATCTATTCGATCAACTTCATGCTTCTTATCCAATTTCATGGAAATCCCGAAGATGGTATATAAAGATTATTTACTATTTGATTGATGCAGCAGTGTTAAATTCATACATAACTTATAAGACTACAATGAAAATGAGTCACCTGTATTTTAGAAGTGTATTGGCCAACGAGCTCATAGGTGATATCTATAACAGAAAGAGAACAGGACCTAAGGTAACAATAGGAAGAAATAAACTGAAAAAATGGGAGCAACCACTAATTCTGTTAGCGTTGAAAGTACGGTGAGACTAAGCGATGTTGGCAATCACATGCCAGAAAGAGGAACATCAAGATGTTGTGCACTATGTTCAACGAGAGCAAAGCCAAAATGTTCAAGTATTAAATGCTCAGATTGCCAGGTTGCATTATGTTTTCAATGTTTTCCATTATTTCATAGTAAAAATGTTTAATTAATGTGTTTTTTTCTGTGGTCGATTATGGAACTACAACTACATTTACCAAAGTCAACATACCTAATCAGGCTGTGGTCGAAATTTCAACCACCTAAAAAAAAACAACAAGGAGTAAAAATAAAATGAAAATACAAATGAAAGTTCAATAACGGATCATTCCTTATCTATAATCTGCAAAGAATTTGTTTATATTACCAAAAAATAATTTTGCCCTATAAAGGGTTAAACACTACAATTAAAAAAAACTAGCCGAGTAAAAGTAGTTTTAAATTACGAGGTATTGCTTTAAATCCAACGAATTAAACTTTAAAATTCAGATTAATTAAAAATAAATATCCACACTTTGACAGTTTTTTGACGAGTGTATTATTTATTTCCTCATACTGAATTATCTGTTAATATTTTTTTGTTTTCACACACTCTCTGGACATGATATACAGTGGGTGGCCAAATTATTAGGGACAGTAAAAGATTTCTTAATTTTTTAGTTTTACTGATTTTTTTTTGCAATTTGTTGGCTTTAAGGCTTGCATTTATTTTTTGTATAAGAGATTGAGAAATTAGGGTCACAAAAACATTAAGTTTTGTTAGTAAAACCATTTATTTTTTTCGCAAATTTTTTTTAACATAATATGACTAATTTTAATATTTAGTGATGCCACCCTTTGCTGCAATTACAGCTTCTACGCATCGGGGCATGCTCTGAATACAAACTCCTGCGTTGTGTTTTAAGTTAGGGTTATGATGCCATTCTCTAATAAGAGCTTCAATCAACTGCCGCTTCGTGGTGATAACATCTTTGGCGATCTCCCGTTTGGTTAACTCCCACATGCTCTCTATAAGGTTCATGTCAGGTGAGTTTCCCGGCCAGGGCAGAACTGCAATATTTTCTTTGATCAAATATGCAGTTACACTCCCGGCTTTGTGGCACGGTGCAGAATCGTGCATAAAATGTCATTTTTTTCACCAGGGAACCATTCTTTGACCTGGGGCAGTAGCCGAGTTTCAAATACTCGCTTATACTGGTCCTGTCTCATTGTCCCTTCCACGATGTATAAGCGTCCCACACACTTTGCCGAGATTACTGACCACACCATGACACTCTCCTGTTGACACTCTCTTGTGGATATGACACTCAACCATGACCGGATGTTTAATTCTCTCCACAATGCAATCTGGATGGAACTGCTCCCCAGGACGTCGTCGGACAAACGCACTTTTATCCACCAAAATCTGAAATGTTGATTCGTCGGAGAAGCATACCTGTAAAAATGATAATATTCGCTGTTCACAAACTTCATTCGTTAAAAAAAGTCATACTTATTCGACTCCAGTCTTCAACAGTCATACTTCGGTGTTGTTTGGCCTATTGGAGTCTCTTTCTCTTCATGGCTTCGGTGAGCCGTGGTTTTTTCATAGGCCGGCGACCTAGCAGATTCTCTTCGGCCAGTCGTCGCCGTACTGTCCTTCTGGAAACATTAATTCGTAACTACAGACTTTGAAACACCTGCAGTAGTTGCTATAATTCACTGAGAAAGCCTCGATTGCAGTTATAATGTTTTTATTTCTCTAATTTTCCCTGGAGACAAGTCTGCAATTTTGCCCATGCTAAAAAAATAATTTTGAATTTAAACAATCTTTTTAAATAAACTCGTGTCATTAAATGTAGCAAAAATTACTAAATAACAAATATTACTTACCTGTTAAATATATCTGACACGAAAACCGACCAAAAACAATTTAAAACGATTTGCAAATATTTTTAAACCTCACTGCGGTGACAGCCGATGACCAACTGAGATGCAACAATAATTGAATACCTCCCTCTAAAAAGGTTGCAAGCAGCAAAATCACTTTTTTACAGGAAGTGAAGAAAACAATAGAAACTTTCCCTGTTACAATAAAAATATGTTTATATGATGCTTACACATTATGGTTAAAGATTGCTATAATTTTTTTTTTATTTTTAAAATGTACTTTAATACTATTAGACAGAATTAAATTTTTTCAATCTAAAAACGTTACACATGCCCATATGTAACGTTTTTACATTCAATCTAACTAATATTAATTATGTACTTGAAACGTTTTACAACAAAACGCAGTTTAGATTAAAGGAGTATTACAGGAAAAATAAATGCACGGTAAAATGAATATTAAACAAATAGTTTATTAATATAAACAATACAAAAAATGTATGATTTTATTTTATTTTCAATTTTTAAGTGTTTATCCTACATAACATTTGGATCTGCACTATCTAACGATTGATAAAAAGTTCTTTTATATGGAGGTAAGTAATCTATAAGCTTTAAAAGATCAGCCATTTTTGAGGCATTAATAGGTAGTTTATTAGGATAAAGGATTGGCAGATCGATAGGGTCAACTATGTTGTACACAGGTAATGAGGCAGCTTGGTATCTCTTTCCTTTGGGTTTGGAGAAATAGACGTTGTTTCTGCCATGTTTCTTACATATATGTAACCTTTTTAGACTGACCTCAAATTTCAGTACTAAAAATTATAATAGTTTAATTCAACTAGCGACTAAAGGATAGCACCACTGTATATTAAACTGCATAAGTAACCATTTTACATTAAAACATCACTTTATGAAAAATTGTCAGTTGCAACGTTTTTAGAGGGACCTCTTCAATTATTATTTCATACATAAGCAGTCTACCAGTGTTGCCGCTTATCAAAACTTTTAATAGTTATACCAGAAGAATTACCAATTAAAATACAGATATAAACACCAATTTTTTTGGTCAAAAAAATAATTTTAAGTAGAAAATACAAAAATATATGCAGTGTCCCTAATAATTTGGCCACCCACTGTATATTGAAAGCAAATATACATTCTTGCCGGTAATATAAATTCTATTATTATTTTCTTTTAACGTATTTACTTAAGTTTTCATTCAATGCCTTCTAACTGAATTCATTAACACCGGCCTCGTTTAATTAAATTATATTTCAATACCGAGTTAATCTATTATTCTTTGAATTTAATTATCTAAAAGCCTTTAAATTGGAAATCAAATAAGAATTGTTATTTCAGGTGTGCTTCTCGGAGATTATCCCTCCCAGGAACAGCGGCTACTGAATAGCACCATTTCCAGAAAATTTAGCAAAGGGGAGATATCGTTTTCGGCGAATGTGCAGCATGTTTCCGAAATTGATAGTTTTGGTGCCAGCGAAACTTGTAAGTACACTAAATCTAATTTGGAAACTTAAAATGTGTTAAGTAAACCTATGATTTGTACTAATATTGGGTCAAACGATATTTTGTTCCAATTTATGACTGAGTTAGTTATTCAGCGTCTTTATCTTTAAAGACTAGTTTTACTTTTAAATTCATTATAGATTTAAATTTATTAAGGAGGAACACTTACTTTTTTTACATTTTGATTTACAGTATTTGATATTACACGTTTTGATTATTAATTTGATATTTTGATTAAAACTACGTAATTCTTAATTTCAGATATACTTTTATTTTTTTATTTTTAAGTGAAAGGTGCTAAGCCTTTTGGATACATCAAATTTAGGCGGTTTTATTACAACCTCATCCAAAATTACTCACCCATAATCGATCTAGAATGGTTACATGATTGGACAATTTTACTTAATGGTTTTTAATTCATTCACTTTTTGAAACTTTTGATGTTAAGTATTTAATATAAGAAAAATATATGTTTATCTCCACATCTTCTGCGATCATTATCATCTATCCTTAAAAGAACAATACTAAACATACCTCTTCTAAATAATTGATGGATTCGACCGTTACTTGATGGAAATTCATTTTATGTAACAATAAAACACTGAAAACTTCCACAAAATGTATTTTAAATCTTATCACTACAGCTGTTTCGGCTGATTGCCTTTCTCAAGTGATCTATTTTTGGCTTGGGTTTACAAATTTATAGTCTCTACTGAAATAGGTTGAGGAGGGGAGAACTGTTTGTCTCAAGTTGGTCATTCAGAATTATATCTGTATTTTTTAATTTGTTGATTTCCATAGATTCTAACAAAGATAGCTTAAGGCCTTTATTTTGAATGTGAAGAATTTTAAATTTGTCATTAAAAGAATGATTATGATCTAGAAGGTGAAGTGCGTGTGTCGAATCTGTTTTTTTATTATTGAAAGCCCTTTTATAATCTGCTATTCGTTTATCAAAGTTTCTACCAGTTTGGCCTATGTAAGTTTTTGGGCAGTCGCCACATTGAGGTTTGTACACACCACTATTTAAGTGTTTTTTTATTTTGGCTCTTGTTATTTTTAATATATTTGCCTAGGTTGTTATTTGTTCGGAAAGCTGGTGTTATTCCTTTCTTTTTTATGTGCTGGTGTTATGAGTTATGGTATGTACTGGGTTTTTCTCTGGTGGTGGAAATACTAATTTTATGGCTTTCTTGTGTAGTTTTTGATTTAACATTTTATTAATTGTTTGTTCGTTGTATCCGTTGTTTACTGCTATTTGCTTAATTATATTTAATTCTGTCTCAAAGTTGTATTTAGACATAGGAATTTCTGTTAATCTATGTAAAATACTATAATAAGCTGCCAGTTAACGTTGTGTCCCATCATCCCATCCAATTGTGTATGTGTATCATCCCATCCAACACAACATACCCGAATGAGGAAAAAGTTACCCGAATAAGATGACACTTTATATAGGAACATTTCCTACTATCTGATGAAAGACTTCCTGAACTTGAGTGCGAACTAGAAAACATTAAGTGGGACATAGTCGGTCTCAGCGAAGTCAGAAGACGTAGCGAACACTTAATTAAACTAAAATAAGGACATAGTTTTTACCACGTAGGTGACGACAACAATTCCTTGGGAGGAACCGGCTTCATTATACGCAGGTGTCTCCAAACAAGCATAGTATCACTAAAGAAATTTTTCACAAGAATGATTTTGTCTTACCCTATAATTGACTACAAGGTATAATATAAAAATAATACAGGTTTATGCACTAACAGCAGACCATGATGAAGAAGTGGATCTATTCTATGATGATATCGAAGCTGCTCTTAAAGACCATCAAGGAGATTTGACTTTTATAGCGGTGATTTTAACGCCTAAGCAGGAATGAAATCCAAACCTACATAAACACCACTGGAAAACTTTGCTTTGATGGTAGAAATGAACGTAGCGAAATACTGGTAAGCTTCATGCTGCAACATGAATTATTCCAAATGAACGGCTTTTTTAAAAAGAAACCACAGAGAAGATGACATGGCAAAGTCCTAATGTAAAAAACTCAAAACGAAATAGATTTTATTATCATGGACAAAAAACACACCGTTAAAAGCATTACGGTTCTAAACAGATTTGTTACCAGCATACGATCATAGAATGGTACGAGGTAAAATAGAAATAAGCTATAATAATAGAAGAGGTATAAGATAATTAAAAAGAAGAACAAATAAAAAACATAGATGAAACCATAAGATGTAGATAGTTTTCAGCAATGTATTTCCATCATACTTAGTAGTCCTGAAACAGAAAATCATATAAACGACTTAAATAATAAATTAACAAATGCTTTACTAAAAATTCAAAAATAATTCTATCTTAGAACTTAAAAAGAAGATAAGATTAGGAAAAATAGTAGACAACTAATGCAGAAAAGAAGAGAAATGAGAAGCGAGAGGGAAACTAAAGCCGACGAACTACAAAAATTAAATAAAGAAATATCCAAAGATGTTAGACAAGACATTTGGAAATACAACCAAGAACAAATTAAACACCATTGAGATCAATATAAGTATGAAAGTATTGAGAAAAAGTCTAAAAACGGAGACAAGGCAGATAATAAAGATTAAGGATAAAAATGGTCATCTTACAAACATCAGAGAGGAAAACCTTAAAATAGTTTTTGTTAATTTAGTACAAATTCCTATACACAAGCCAACACAAAGAAAATAGCAGAGAAGATGAAGTACCAGAAATATTAACAAGGAAAAAGGGCATTGTCAACCAAGGATCAGTATTATTACCGGAAATCACAATGGACGAAATAAAACTAAAGAAAACCTAAAAACTAAACCTAAGAAAAACTAAGAATAACAAATCTCCAGGCGAAGATTGTGTAGTTACTGATGCAAACTCGAAGGCACTTGCCTACTAAAGAAAATAAAAAACCTATTTAACATGTGCCTTTTGGACAGTAATATACCTGACAAATTGCACAGTCACCTATAGTCGTTGGTCACCTATAGTCGTAGTTGCTTCTTAGTCACCTATATAAACTCCTTACAAGAATAGTAATGAATCGTCTTGAGAAAAAACTTGATTTCTACCAGCCAATAGAGCAAGCACGATTTCGTACCGGATTTGGAACAAATGATCACCTACAGAGCATTAAAACGGTAATAGAAAATACTATCGAATACAATAAGAATTTGACAAAACCCTTGAAGCACTACAAGCATGCCGCATTGACTACCGATATACAAGGTTAATTTACATATATATTACATGTATTTACAATACATGCAAAAACGCAATAATGTCGGTGAAATTACATGAAAGCACGGATCATATCCCAATCGCCAGAGGAGTTCGACAGGGTGATACCTTATTACCTAAACTGTTTACAAGCATACTAGAGTATGCTTGTAAAAAACTTAACTTCGAAGAGAAAAGCATGAACCTTGATGGTAGAAGATTAGCAAATTTAAAATTCGCAGACGACATAGTTTTGTTCTCAAACAACCTCAAAGAGATATGTACAATGCTACATGAACCTTAGTTAGTGTGTGCCAGTTTGGGTCTTAAAATAAACATCTCCAAAAAAAATTCAGGACAAACTTAGTATCTAGCAGAAATATCAATATTGAAGAAAACGAAGTAGAGCTGGTGAAAAAATACATATATCTTGGACATTAAATAAGGACCACATGTGATTTACGAAGAAAAATAAACCTGAAATGGGAAAACTCAAAGATATGTTTAAAAAGCGATATACCAATTTCTTTAAAACGTAAAATATTTGACCAATGTGTGTTTCCTGTGATGACCTATGGTGTCTACATTGACAGATACAAGTTTTAAAACGTTGCAAATAACTCAGAGGAAAATAAATAGCTCAATGGTGAGTATGTCGCTTCGTGACCGAGTTAAAAATGAAGACTTAAGACAAATAACAGGAGTTACCGATGTAATTTCCCGAATTGCCACACTGAAATGGAACTGGGTCGAACATGTCGCCCGAATCAGTGATGAAAGGTGGACGAAGATATTGCTTGAGTCGAGTTCGAGGTTAGACAAAAAAAGTACTACTTGTTGGACTGACGATCTCAAGAAAATGTCAAGAAATTGGATGATTAATGCTCCAGATGGACAAATATGAGGGAGGCCCATATCCAGCAATGAACGTAAAGTGCTGGGTGATTATGATGATACAATTATGGGATGTTTGAACTCCTTATGGTGGGATCGCAACATTTCCAAAAGGAACAAAAAAAGAATAGGGCAAACCGTGGTTAAATCAGTTCTGTGTTATGGCTCTGAAGTATAGACAATTAATGCGGACCTAAAGAGAAGATTGTTGGCAGTTGAATATTTAAGAAGTGTAAAACATCAAAGTTGGAAAGGAAGACCAACGAATCTATAAGAAATAACACGAATGCTACAGAAACAGTCATTGACAAAATAGAAAGAAATAAAAATAGACAAAATAGAAAATCAAAAAAATATTGAAATGGTCTAACGAACGTTGGCGCCAAAAACTTCACAGATAAAAGCCCCCTGGAAGAAGAAAAAGAGGTAGACCTCGACGCTCATGGAATGAATGAATTAGAAGAGCGATGGAATCTGGAGGTTTGGAGGAAGGGCATGCCTTGGACCAGGAGGATTGGCGGGGGAGAACGGGAATACAGCGATAGCCGTCTCCTTAATGTATTGTGTTTACAAGTTGAATCCTTATAAGAAAGCTGAAAATTGTACACAAATGTTAGGTTATGCAATGTGTTCGTGGGTGATAGTGACTAATCTACTGACTGAAGAAATTTTATAGAAAACTGTAATTATTATTTTTAGATATAGGTGGATAAAATGCCACAAGGAAATAGCTTTAGAACTATCCTATAAATATATATTATAGAAATCAGAAAGCGACGTACAATAAACTAAAACGAATAGCAATAACTCTATATAAAAGAAGAATAGTAAAACTTCACCTATCCATTGCTTTGCATTGCATTTATTTGTTGGAGACTTCTGATTTTTTTTTGGCTTAGAATATCGTCATACAGCCAGACCATCGAGTTAGAATCTATGGAGAAGCTATGAGCATATTAACGTGTGTATTAAAAACGGCATAGGTAGGTGTGGCTAACGATAATACCAATATGGCGGTGACATCAGGGCCAGACTCAATAATAATAAAACTACTATACAAATATGACTAGTTATGCAGAAGATTTAATCATAATCTAAAAAAGTGCAACACATTTTTAATAAACTATGATTTATTTATTCCGTGGTAAACACTAAAAACACGATATACTATACATAAAGATAAATTAATACAGTCAAATACTATTAATTTATTCTCTGAAGTACGGGTCTTTACTTTGTTTACATATTTGTATACTAACCTGTACAACGTTTTTACTGAAGATTTTTATTAACGTTGCTTCTGCTATTGCAAATACGTTGAGAAAAAGAAACCATTATTATCCACTATCACAATATATTATTACAGTTTCTATAAAAGTATTATAAAACTAAAAATATTCAAAAAACAACAAACGTAAACAAACATATACGATCTGTCAAAAGTGTCAAAACAATATTAACAATATCGCCGAAGTGAGGTCGTTTTTAGTCACGTGATGCCCTCTCCATGAATTCTAACTCGATGATCCAGACACAAAAGAAATAAGACAGTCATCATTATAATTATTTACCTAAATGCTCTATCAAGATAATAGAAGATTACATCAATATTAGGAGAACAGGGACACACTCTTCTCGCCTAGGGACCTATCAAGGCATTGATTTATATAAGACATAACAACACGGTCACGGAGAGGAGGAAGTTATACAAATGGTTTAAAACAAAGGTAACAAAATTAACTAAATAATTGTTAGAGAATTATAATGATAATTTGCTGTCTTTTAAAAATTTTATTAAAGAGTTGTAAATATCTACAGAGCCAAGTGATAATAAATGTAGCATATTCCAAGGAGCTGCTATTTTATATTTTAATAAATCATTTATAAGTTTGGATGAGTAAACTCTGTTTTTAGAACAACCAAAAAATATATGATCTAAATCACTTTCCTCTCCACAATGCTTACATTTGTCATCATCCAAAACCTTTATTTTAAATAAGTGCTTTGGATAACATGCGTGTCCGAAACGTATTCTAATAATGGAAGTTATGTGCATCCTGGAAGCTCTAAAAGACTTGTACCAAGCAAATTTGGGAATATCTGGCTGAATTATTGGGTATGTATTTTAGTTCACAAAAGAATATTCCTTCCACTGGTAGCTCCTCTCTCGAAGCAATGTTGACTTGCAAGAAACAATACTGTCAGAAAGCGTTACTTTATGTAAAATACCAGTATCGGTTAAAATGCTTTCTTTGGCTAATAAGTCGACATATTCATTATGTTTAAATCCTGCATGTGCTTTAATCCAGAAAAAATGTACATTGATTCCTTTGGTTAAAAGAGTTTGAATAATATGTTTAATTCTATAAATGTATGGGCAGTCTTGTAAGTTTGGTGGTCCATATTTACCAATGGATTTTAACATTGCCAAGGAGTCCGACAAAATTATAATATGGGCAAAATCAACTTCAGCTACATATAATAAAGCTTTATATATTGCAATGGCCTCTGCTGTAGGAATCCCAATCAACTGGAAGGAATCAGTAACCATTATCCTACACAAGAAAGGGAATAAAGCAGATATAAAAAACTACCGTCCTATAACACTCCTTAATGTAATGTATAAACTCCTAACAAAAATTTTAACTAATAGATTGACGACAAAATTCGATGGATACCAGTCGAAAGACCAAGCTGGTTTTAGAAAGGGATTCAGCACAAGTGACCATTTACTAAGTATGGAAATACTTATAGAACGAGCAAATGAATACCACATTCCTCTATATATGGCGTTCGTGGATTTCGAAAAGGCTTTCGACAGTGTCGAACATTGGGCAGTGAAAAGTTCTTTAATTAACAGCCGAATTGACCACAGATATACGGAACTAATAACCAATATATATATATATAATATATATATATATATATATATATATATATATATATATATATATATATATATATAATATATATATATATATATATATATATATATATAAGGAAGCCAAAACAACAATTAAAGTATATGAAGGAACAAAATCATTACAAATAAGTAGCGGCCTGAGACAGTGTGATACAATATCACCGAAACTTTTTAATCAAGCTCTTGAAGATACTTTTAAAAGATTAGAATGGGATAAAAAAGGTATAAAAATTTGTGGACAATGCTTGAACCATCTAAGGTACGCTGATGACATCGTATTGATAACCGATAAAAAAGAAGAATTATTTGAAATGATGAAAGAACTGGACGTAGAAGCTGGAAAGATAGGCCTTAATATGAATTACAGCAAGACCAAAACTATAACAAATACAGATGAAGACATTACAATGAGAATCGGACAAGATGAAATAGAACAAGTTAAGGATTATATATATCTTGGTCAAACTATAAAACTTAACAAAGAGAACCAAACAGCAGAGATCAAGAGATGAGTTAGACTGGCATGGGCGGCATTTGGCAAACTAAGCTACATTTTTAAAAACAACAGATATCCACAGCATCTTAAGATAAAAGTATATAATCAATGCGTACTCCCTGTTCTTACTTATGGTTCCCAAACGTGGACATTTACAAAAGCAAACATGGACAAAATCATAAAAACCTAAAGAGCAATGGAAAGGCAAATGTTGCACATAAGACTAATGGATAAGAAGAGAAACGAGTGGATAAGAGAGAAAACAAAAGTGAGGGATGTTAGACAAGAAGTTGCAAAATTGAAATGGAGATTTGCCGGACACAATATAAGACAAAAAGAAGACCGATGGAACAAAATTCTTATAAGTTGGAGACCGTGGGAATATAAACGAAGCAGAGGAAGGCCCTAAATGAGATGGGCAGATCATATCAAGAAATACGTGGGCTTTAGATGGATGACTCTAGCGACAGACAGAGGACAATGGAAAAGGATTGGGGAGGCCTATGTTCAAAGATGGACCGAAGAAGGCTAATTAGATAGATAGATAGATGTTCCTATGGTATAAAAAAAGCGCAGCCGGTTCCATCTGGAGATTTAGACGCATCTGTATATAGAGCTATTGCCTCTTTGTATTTGCTGGTTATAGATAGAACAATATTTTTATTTAAATATATATTTTCACTATAATTTGATACAATAATATCTGTATGTAAAAAGAAAGAAGAGTAAGTAGTTCGTTCTATCTATATTTTTTAAAAGTGCTATATTTTGATTATACGCTTCCCAAAGTAAGGGAGATTTCTTTTTTTGCCAATATTTATTTGTCAGGTCATGGCGATTTAAAGTGACTATCTTTTCGTATAGAGATGAGTTTAGTAAGTATACTTTCATTAAATATTTTTTGGACAAAAACCTTCGCCTTATATTTAAAGGAGGTTCCAAGGCTTCCAAATATAAAGCTTGTACTGGAGTGGATTTCATGGCTCCTAAACATATCCGTAAGGCTGAGTTCTGTAAAACGTTGATTTTGTTTAGTAGTACATTACTTGCTGATCCATATAAAACACCTCCGTAATCCAAAATAGATCGTATGTAAGCTTTGTAAAATAATAAACTTACTTCAAAACTAATTATTACATCCTAAATAGACAACTGAAAATTTCTAAATTTATTTTGAGACAATCTGTACAACATCTCACATGTTTATATTGAAATATTAATACCCGCATATCTTTTGCAGTGTGCCATGTACTTAAATCCGGTCTTGGTGTAGCAGCAATTTTTGGTCCCCGATATACACCAGCGACTGCGATTCTTGAATCCATTTGCCTGGAATTTGAAATTCCGTATATTTCATCATCATGGCGGCCGACGTCTATAAAGAATTCGGGATTCTTTTTAAACTTCTTTCCAGACACAGACTATTATTCCAAAGCTTTGGCAGAGATCATTCAGAGTTTTGGTTGGAAAAATTTCGTCGTTGTATACCAAAACGACGACACCTTATTAAAATTTAAGGATGTTTTGAAATTCCAGAAGTATAACGAGAACGACAAAAGGAATAGAATATATTTCGAGAAGCTAGGTCCAGGCCCTAATTTTACGTAAGTTTTAAATAACTATTATTTATAGCCTTATAGAAAAATTTATCTACTTTATAATTTTTATATTAATGAAAAATAGGATATTGTCGACAGCTGATTTGTATAATATTCAGGTACAATTATGTATTAACTCCTCTAATTAACCCTTTATAGGGCAAATATTTTCTTTACAGTATTAGGTCATTTTTATGAATTAAAGCTGCCGATACGATCCAATGTACGTCATAAAAATGTTTAAAACATTCCAAGCTTAATCAGAAAAAATCTGACGGGGGACACTAGAATACCCACGAAACGTTTTGTGCAGTAGAAATACCAGCATGGTTAGTGATTAACAAAATAACCAGTTTTATTTTAACCCTGGTACATCACACTTATTTCTTAAAGCATGAACTTCACACTCGGGTCTCAGAAACCCGAAGCTGTTTTTTGCAAAAAAAAAAACAAAAAATGTGAATATTTAATGGATTTGGGAGAATATCTAATCTCAGTAGAACGTGTAGAAAAAAATTTAACCATGGTGTGCTATTTCACAAAGAGATATATTTGTTGGAATTTAAAAATAACATAAAATAATATTCAAACATAAGACTTTGTTATTAAAACAAATAAACATTAAATTGAAATTATCATCTACAAAATACACCTGTATAAGTATCCTTGTAACAAAAAAAATAAACTCATTTGGTAATATAAGTCTTAGTTATTCTTAGCCAGGTCTTCAGTTTCTTGATTCTTGATGTTCGCATTCACAGCATAGCTGGGCTCTATGTTCCATGCAATATACCCCAGTAAACTATTAATACTTCTAACTGGTTCATCCACTATTTCGTCTTCATTGGTTCACTGTTGCTGTCTGACAGTTGCTCTTCAACGTAATCTTCATCAGACTCGTCCCCTACGAGTCTTCACCGTTTACGATGTCGTTTTCACTCTCATTCTCCCATAAATTGTCTGCCTCTCTCTGTAATTCTACCTCAGTTAAAGGACGACGATTTTCTCTGCCAGTTGATACCTTTACTTGACTATTTTCCCTACTAGTTGACGCCATTATACTAAAATAAATAAAAATAAGTTGAAACAAAATTATTACCGTAAACATCACCCTTGGGTCCAGGGTACCCATGCTTGTACTTCTGGAAATATCTTACCTCGTTGTTTCACTAAAATGCAGCGGATGACTCGTATTCTAACTCGGCTTACGACAAACTGAATTTACATAAAGTGACGACACACATAAACCACTCATACGCATGTCACATTGCAATAAATTACTTTCTGGGTTTCTGAGACCCAACAGTGCAGTTCCAGGGTTAATCATTTATTTGTCATAAAGTTACAGAAGATATTATAGGTAGGTTAATATTATAAACTTTATAATGTGTGGAATGATTTAAAACATGAAACACACAATGCTGCATCATATTCTTTACAAATAAGTGTTGATCTGACAACTTTTTTTATGTACTATTGTACTACAGTACAAACAACACACCGTTATACGTTTCCCTTCATGGGTAAATGTTTTCCTACGTCCGATTTTCGTACAGTATTTGTCGTGTTTATAGATCGTACATTTTGTTTTTTCAATTTTGTTTTAAAAACAATCACTTTTGGATCTGTTTTTTTTCTGGTGCAATAATCTTGTGTTAGCTCATCAGCTAAATTAATGCGAATCATCAAATCAGACATTGGTTTTGTATTCCTCTTGTTACAATCAATTTTATAACTTATGTAGGCGTTGGCAATTAAGGCGTCAATTAGATAATAGCACAGTTTCATCCACCATCTCCTGGATTTCCATGAAATATTATACGTGAACATGTACTGGTCAAAATGATCCACTCCTCCCATATTTGTATTATAATCGTAGTGGATGCTGATAAGCAAAAAGCAACAACCTGCTCGACAATTACGGATAAGTAACATACTAGTTGATCATGTAGAATCTTATGTGTACCTTGGCACCAACGTAAATGCAAAATGGGAACAGACCATAGAAATTAAGGCAATAATAGAACGAGCTAGAACAGCATTTAGCAATATGAAAAAACTCCTCATAAGCAAGGATTTGTCTCTTCCCCTAAAACTACGTATAGTTAAATGCTACATTTTTCCGATCTTGCTGTATGGCGTGAAGGCCTGGACGCTGACGGAGACGCTAACGAGAAAACTAGAAGCATTCGAAATGTGGATGTACCGACGCATTCTTCGTATATTCTGGACCGAACATGTCACCAACATAGAGGTACTCCAAAGAATCGGAAAGGAGAAAGAAATCGTGAATACAATTAGACAAAGAAAGCTTGAATATCTAGGCCACATATTGAGACACGATAAGTACCGTCTGCTACAATTGATTGTCCAGGGAAAAATAGACAGTAAGCGAGGGCCAGGCAAGAGAAGACACTCGTGGCTCCAAAATCTGCGGAAGTGGCTCGGGCTCACATCGGTTGAAATATTCAGAAGCGCCGCAAACAAGATCAAAATTGCCATGTTAATAGCCAACGTTCGCAACGGACAGGGCACTTGAGGAAGAAGATGGGCATTGGGCATGAAATTTATTCCTTTTCACTTTTTTATTGGTTCATAATACAGTTGTGAGACAAGATGGCTCATGGAAAGAACTTACAATAATCAACAGGTTTCTTTCCTATATCCTTTCACTTGCAAACAGAGAGTTCATTGCTTGTGGCATAATCGATCTTTCTGATTTTCAAGGCCTTGTCATTTTTAAGATGTTTCGGATAATACTTTCTATTGATACTAAATGTTTCACAGCTGAAAGTGGCGTTTGCCAGTAAGGTGAATAGCAAGTTAAACGATTAAAAATAGTTATCAAAAAATATACAATACCCTTTCTTGAAAAATGATTTTGAAAGATGCAGTACTATTCTTTTGCCTAATGTACCTTCTTCTTCTCCGTGCAACGTCTGCAGCAACGTCTATTGCCGGTTTTAACTAATAATATAATATTATTTAATGTATTTAAATAAATATTCATATTTAAGAGAATTTATTTTTACGTACCTTCATATACTCCTTCTGCAAAGTTATATAAATGGCTTTACATGTTTCGGGCATAATTCTAATAAGAGCTTATGCTGATATTATGGTAGAGAACTTGAGGCATTCATATGATCTACCTGTTGCAAGAAATCTTAATGTAGCTACTAGTCGCTCATGTGGTGATGTTGCTTTTCTCACGATCGTATCTTGCTTCTGAATTGATGGAGTAATCATTGATAGTAGTTTAAGGTAAGTCGCTTCATCTATTCTTAAATAATTACGGTAATCTTTAGGCTCTTCTAAATTGATATGACTGTATTGATTTCTTTTTAACAACCATTCTTTGTACCACTTTTGTCTCGGTTTTCTTTCCTTTTTGAAAATGACAAGAGGAATTACTAGGGCTACCGCGTCGTCATAGTCACGCTTAGTTGGTGTCATCATGTTAATAATAAACATTAACTGAGACTGTCATCAGGTTTGACGCTACGTCTATGGGTAAATTCAATCTCTGCCTGAACACGTACACTTGCTACAAGTTTATTTGAACAGGTACACCTGATAGGTAGACCGGAATGTAAGTGACCGGCTTAAGGCATATAAAACCTTCAAAATGGCGTTATTTAAATGTTGCTATCCTTATTTGTTGCTCAGAAAGTGACAAAATGAGTTAAAAATTTCGGTGTTTTATAAATGTTTTTAATATTTTCAAAAATAACTATAAAAAAAACTAATAACCTTTATATTAAAGGCAATGTTCGGTCTTATGGTGCTTAAAATATTATCAACTTTTCAAATTGGTCGACCAAATAGTTTAAAATGTATTTAATTTGTTTATCTCAAATTAAATTGTTTTGCAACAATATAATTCGAAAAATTGTGTAGTTATGATAATTATACGAATAATTTTTGAAAGAAAAAGATTTATTCTTTTTTTTTTCATATTTACATAGACTGAATTTTTTACAAATTTAAAAGAAAAAAAATATTGACTTTAATAATAATAAAACTTTAATAAAAAACTATTGATTGTTTTTGGATTTCGACGTTTCTTTTTTTTTATTTGTATGTTCATTTTGCGTAAATTACGAACATGTATTATTTAAATAATTAATTTTTTAAATAAACCATCTAATTTTTTTTATTATATGTTATAGCTTATATATTATATGAGCTGTTTTCTCTGAATATCCTCAACTATAGTGCCCTCTATACCGATTTTTGTTGTTTTATCAGGTGATCGAATTAAAAAAAAAAAAAAAAACAAAAAGTATGAGATGAAAGTTTACAAATTTATGTTTAAAATGCGTAAGTCCATTTAAGTTTTGTATGACAGTTTAAAAGATCCATAAACAAATGGAACAAATTCTTTTCTTCTTTGTTTTTTTCGATTTTTACCTCCTTTGTGCCATGTACCATGGTGTCCGTTTATCTTTTCTATTATTTCTTGTGGTGCCATGGTGCTACATACCAGTTTTTCTGTATTTAGCATAGAGTCTCAAAATTTTCTTATTTTTCTTCTACTAAATTTGTCATTTCACCGTTTTTGTCGATTTTCTTATGTAACTCGTCCTTATATCTAATTTTCATATTGTTTGTTGTTTTAAAAGGTCATAAGAATTAGACTAAGAATTGTCTATGAAGAGAAACAATACAGATTTAAAAAGAAAAAATAAGCAGTATACGCGAAAAATAAAATTGTCACGGAAAAATTCCAAAACAAAAATGGCCGTACTGGTCATTTTGGATACAACTTTCACCTTTGTAAACTGGACTCACATCATAAAAAAATAATGAATACAATATATTGTTTGTTTCAGTAATGTTTTTGAAAAAATACAAAAAATATCATCAACAAACATTATCCTTGACTGCAAGACTGAGCTAATTATACCAGTTCTAAACCAAGCACAAGAGGCAAATATGCTTAACGTTTATAACAGCTACTTTTTGACAAATTTGGTAAGTTATGTGGATATACAATAGAAAATCAGCTTAGTACCGTTTATGTTATTTGTTTGAAAAAAGCATACATTGTTTATGATATAACCTACTTATTTAGTATATAGTACATTGCATCTAAAAAGTTTGCGAGTAACAGGGACATGGTGATAAACAGTAAATTATTTTATTTCTGTATTATTTTTTTATATTTCGAAAATATGTGTCTCAGCAGCTAATAGTCATTGACACAGGTACAATTTACATTCATGTATGCAAGTAAATTGTATAATTTTGTGTTTTTAAAAAGTTCAATACATTTTCATAGTTGCAGCTGTTTGAGATAAGTATATCTTTTAGGTTGTTACAAAGATTGTATTTGTAAAGTCGTGGTGGTAAATTGTAAGTCGTGGTGTTGTAGTACCTACGTGGGAGCTGGTAGTAGAAAATGTTTGGTTATAGAACGCTTAACTTGGTATTGCTTCTTTGTCAATGATCATTCCAAAGGTTCAATATTTTATGTTTAAGTATTCTTTTTAGATCTGATGATGTTTGAATGTCTGTTGTTACGTAAAGAAAACATTCTTGTTTTGCTGCTTGATCGGCTTTTTCGTTACCTGGAATATCAACGTGTGATGGAACCCACAATATTGTTACTGTAATTCCATTAGTTTGAAGACGATTACTTATACTCTGGATTTCTTGAAATAGACTGTATATAGGACAGAGAGTCTGTACATATTGCTATAGTTTTATCATCGTTGATTGGAGTTTTCACCGCTTGTAGTATTCCATATAGTGAACCAGTATAAATACTGGAGAGTCGCAACAAGTTGATGGTGGTTGTAGTCCTTGTAACATCACAGTCAATACCTTCTTTAGTCTTAAATGCGTCTGAGTAAAGGATCTTATCGAAGTTGCATTTATGTAGTAGTAATTTTGTAGAGTTTTGTAGAGTTGACAGCCAGTACACCGAAAATATTAAAATACAGAGAAGAGTTCGCCAGGGTTGCGTGCTGTCCCCACTACTTTTCAATGTCTACAGTGAAGTGGTATTTCAAGAAGCGCTCTCAGACTCAATAGAAGGAATATTTATCAATAGAGAAGTTTTGAATAACTTACGTTTTGCAGAAGATACAGTAATAATTACGGATAACAGCAATGATTTACAGAACGTAATGCAACGCCTTAATGAACGCTGTCAAGAGTACGGACTGAAGATAAATTTAAAGAAAACTAAATGCATGATCATGACTAAATCTGCAGATGCAAATATCCAATTGACTATTGAAGATACTGTAATTGAGAGTGTTAATAGCTATAAATACTTTGGAACATGGATAACATCAGATGTAGACCAAACCAAAGAAATTAAGACACGTATTGAAATAGCACGTACATCATTTATTAAACTTAAAAAGTTTCTTTGTTGTCGGGATATAAGGTTAGAACTACGCCTGAGAATGCTTCGATGTTACGTGTTCTCTACTCTTCTTTATGGTTTGGAAGCTTGGACACAAAAACAAGTTCATCTGAATAAGTTGGTCGCCTTTGAATTTTGGTGTTACAGAAGAATCCTACGAATATCATGGATTCAAAGAATGTCAAACATGGAAGTAACTAGAAGGATAGGAAGTGAGGCGGAAATAATATTAACTATTAAAAGGCGAAAACTTGAGTACTTGAGATATGTGATGAGAGGGCAAAAATACGCATTATTACAACTTATTATGCAGGGCAAAATCCGAGGAAAGCGAAATGTGGGAAGACGAAGAATATCCTGGCTTAAGAACTTAAGGGAATGGTTTGAATGCAGTAGTGCAGAACTTTTTAGAGCGGCAGTCAACAGAGTCCGCCTAGCCATGATCATTTCCAACCTTCGATAGAAGATGGAACTTAAAGAAGAAGAATTTTGTAGAATCGCCCATTAAGAGTTCGATTTTGTCTTTAAATTTTTTTATAAGAAGAGTTAGTCAATTTTTGGTTCATTTCTCGTTATGGTTGGGATAGATTTGGTATAACGTATAAATAAGTGATTTGATGCCTGATGTAAATTTTAATGCTTCTGCGTTTGGATCGCTACTGCCGTAACAGTTTTCGAGAAGAGCAATTATGTTATCTGCTGGAATTATGAATATTTATGGAGTTTCTTCATAAAATTCGTGTATGATTGTTTTTGCCATTTTAGATAGGGTTGGATAAATCACCTTAGATATGCGGATGATATACTTCTGATCTCCTCGGGACGACAAGATCTGGAAATAAAGCTGAATGAACTTCATGAAAAATCACTGCAAAAAGGCCTAAAAATAACTTCAACAAAACAAAAGTAATGACAAACACGGAAGACCAAGAGGCAATAAAAATACAAACAGAAAAATGGAACAGGTAAATGAGTATATCTATCTAGGACAAGCAATCAGAGCTAACAGAGGAAATCAAACAGCCAAAATATCGAGACGAGTAAGAATGGGATGGGCAACGTTCGGCAAACTTTCTTACTATTGTTCTGAAGCTATTTTCTTGTGGCATTGTAAATTAATTACTGTTAAACTGGGAATAAGCCACAATTAAAGATAAAAATACGTTTATTGACGTTTCAATTTCCACTTCCAAACGTCAATAAACGTATTTTTATCTTTAATTGTGGCTTATTCCCAGTTTAACAGTAATTAAAACTTTCTTACGTTCTAAAAAATCAAACAATCCCTCTATACTTACGAAGCAAGGTATATCACTCCTATATAATACCGGTGCTCACCCACGGATCACAGACATGGACATTTACACAGGCCAATTTGGATAGGATAAGGAAGGCACAAAGAGCGATTGAGAGACAAATGTTGGGTGTATCACTTAGAGATATAAAACGTAACCAGTGGATCAGAACCAGAACAAAGACAGTAGACGCGATAGAACAAGCAGCAAAACTGAAATGGAAATGGGCTGGACACAATGAACGTCTCCAAGACGGACGATGGAACAATGCCATCGGAAAGTGGCGTCCATACAATGCAAAGAGATCAAGAGGCAGACCACAGATGAGGTGGAAAGATGACATCGGGAAACAAGGAGGTCCCACATGGCAGAGAACAGCTCAAGATAGGGAAAGATAAAGAGAACTGGGGGAGACCTATATCCAACAATGGAAGGATAGAGAATCCGTTCAAAAAAAAAGATAGGGTTGACCATGGTGGTTTGCCATTTGACCGTTTAAGTTTTTTCTTGCTTTGTGGTTTGGAAAATCCGGCATGGATATTAGTTTGTTCACTATGAGTAGATTATTCAATTATGCTAGTTCTGTCGCTAGGAGAATAATGTTCTAAGTGTGTGCGTTTCTAGTGTGTTTGTGTGTCTGACATATGTTGGCTTGATTGTTCTAATGAGGAGTTGATATTTAAGGATGTAAGTGGTATATTATTGACTAGAGGAGATATCTCTGTTGATGTGAAACGTACGGTGTTGGTTTCTGGGCTTTTTCCAGTAGACGTGAATTCGGCTTTAAAAGGAGATAAAACAATTTTCTGATCAAAGGAGGTACTTTCTGGTAGATTTGTTCAATTTAAAGCGACATGTCCTCATCTTGTACAGACTAAACATTTTATTTTTTCAGTAAAAAGGAAGATGCGGTTTTCATTATCTTCAAAATAGAGCACAAGAGAGGTTTGAAGCTCACAAGTTTCGGAGGGCGGAAACACATAAACTTGTCTCCTAAAGCCAAGTATATGTGAGAATTCCTTCCCAGGAATGCCTTCTTTAAGAAATGAAACTGGGAAAGCAATTTTTAGACCTAGGCTTTTAACAGCGGTTTCGATAATTTCATGTGGTATACAAGGGAGACATTGGATCGCTTTGGAGAAACGAGTTTATGTATGTTTAAAATTAGGGAGCCGATTTGTATGGTAGGATGAGATTTTACAAATTCATTTACTATATTTTTATTGGTTAAATATATAGAGACACTATTGTGGGAGATTCTGGAGATAAAGCAAATGTTCCTGGGTTCAATAATATCACCAATTACTTTTACATAAGTAATTAAATAATTTAAGGCTGTCTTAGGCATGGAGTATGATTGCTTGTTCTTTCTTTGGGTAGGTTGGTTTCGGTGTTGGTTTTGCTGCTGTTACATATGACATTGAAGAAGTGTTGTTGTTTGGTGTATCTTGTTTGTTGCAGATTGTTGAATCTTGTTGTGACATTGTTGTGGAAGGAACAGTTGGTTTGATGGTATTTCCTGTGCTGCTCATGCACACATAAGCTGTACATCAATGATTAATATTAACTAACAATTTAATTTTTGATGAACTCAATGTCTGGCCTAAAGGGGCCGGAAAATTATTTGTATTAACTGTTTTTATATAATAAAGTTTATTATTATTCACTATTTACAAGTTCAAACTGAAAAAATAATCGTTTGAATATTTAAACTTTTAAGAGAAACTTGGAAATGCATCTAAACTGACAGTTTTTTCACGTTTTCTATGCATTATTTAACTAATATAATAATATAATAAAAAGCATTTATTTTATTGGCTATATAAAATAAAAAAAATTAAATAAAACAAAAATAAAAGCGTTTATTGCCATTAAAAATATATACACTATTACTTAAGATATTTCTGCACGTATCTGCCGCATCTGCACCATCTACTGTCTGAACGGCATCCTCTTTGGGCGTTTGGTTATGCCTGTCGTTGACTCCTTGGCATCTTTTTCTGTAGGTACTTCTTTTAGCATCGTACCTACTCTCCTGATTGGTCGTCAACGGCAACCACCTGGCTAATTACTAATCAGATAGTCGATCAGTCTATGTTTGATTCTGTGTATATGAATGCGATTTTTGTCAAGAATGTCTCTTGTTTTCAGGAGTCTTCTTATGGATTGGTGGAAGAAATGAATTGTCCTATTCTCAGCTACCTCCCTCAATTATGTGTACTGGAGCCTTGCGTGGATAGCTTTGATATTCATTCTTCCTATGTCGACATGTCGATTAGTTCGTAGCATGACGTCTCTTAATTTTTAAGTTTCGTCCAGTTGTAGTCTGCTGTGGAACTCCAAACTGGAATTGCACATAACATTACCGACCTAACGTCGGCCTGGTATATTTAAATTTTCTTGGCCTTCGTAAGGGAACTTGTTCTGAAATATAAGGAAGTATTAGTTTTTTAGCTATAGTTGCTTTTACCTTAGCTTCTTGAGCATGATTTGTGAAATTTAATCTTCTGTTGAGGTGAACTCCTAGGTATTTGACTGATGTTTCTGAATATATGACGTTTTCTCTCATCGTGAGGTCGACAACTGGTGGGCTGGTTTGCTGTTTGAAGATGATGAATTATGCCTTCTTAGCGTATCTTGATTTTCCATTAATCTATGAATTCTGAAATCATCTTCAAGTGGTTTTCTATCGTCTGGACGATCCTTCTATCTTCTTTTTTTGATATGTCGATTACCGTGTCATCTGTATATAGTGCTGTATTTGTTCTTGCATCTGTTGGTATACGTAAAACAAAAATGTTGTATAAAATGGACGATAGGTTACTGCCCTGAGGCATTCCTTTTTGAATCATGGACATGTTTTGGTCAGCTGAAACTTTAAAAGTTCTGTTAGTTAAATATCATCATCAATCAGCCAATCGCGTCCACTGCTGGACATAGGCCTCCCTCAGTTCTCTCCAGTGTTCTCTACACTGGGCCGTTTGTAGCCAGTTTCCCGCTACACGTTTTATATCATCGGTTCATCTAGTCGGTGGTCGTCCTCGGCTTCCTTTATAGTTTCTGGGCCTCCATTCCATAATACGTCTTGTCCACCGTCCATTTTGTGCTCTGGCTAAGTGTCCTGCTCAGTTTCACTTAAGCGTCGTGGTTCTTTCGATGACGTCTTGAACTCCTGATCTTTGCCCGATTTGTTGGTTTGTTATGTGGTCTCGAAAGCTCACGTTCAGAATTGCACGTTCCATGGCTCGTTGTATAACTCTGAGTTTATTCGCAGATTTTTGCGTAAGTGTTAAAGTCTCTGCTCCATAAGTTTGTACAGGTAAACACATTGGTTATAAACCTTTCGCTTGAGACACATGGGAACTGAAGTTTTTAGAATATGTGTTTGATTGTCTCTGCTTATTTTGATTCCGTGTCCCAGATATTTGTAAGTGTCTGTTTGTTGTATGGTATTATTGTCAATAGTTATATTTTCACTCATTACGAGATTTGTTATAAGTTTAATTTTCTCAAAGTTTATCTTTAATCCTGCTCTTTTAGACAGACTTTTAGGCTACTGTATCATAGAAACTGTATCTTGTAAATTATCTGCGATTAATACAACATTATCTACAAATCTTATGTGATTTAATCTTTCTTCATCTATATTTATGCCCATATCTTGTCATTGAGTGCTCTTAAATATTGACTCTAGAGCTGCCGTGAAGAATTTTGGTAAAATATTGTCTCCTTGTCTAACTCCTCGACCTAAGCTGAATTTTTCTGTGTCTTCGTATATTCATATGCTTGATGTAGCGTTCTCGTAGATGTTTTTGATTAGTGTCGTGTACCTGTAATATATTCGGCTTTAATTTAGGGCTTCCAGTACTGTTTCAAACTCTACAGAAAATGAGTCACATATACTAACTAAATATTGTGGCAATCTTGCTCTGTCTATCTTGTGAATAAGGGGTTTCTTTCAGACCGTTTCGTACGCCTTTTGGATGCCGAGAAGTTTTTTTACGATACAAATTAAAAATTTCATTAATACATTTCATCAGGATAAAATAAAAAATTGAAGAGTTAACATATTTTTTAGATGTACAAGATTTTTTTTTGATTACTAATTTTTAGGATGCTCACACCCTAGAGTATGGTGATTTGAATACAACGGCAAACATAACTACCATTAGGCTATTCAACGACAACGACGAATTTTTAAAAGAATCTGTACGGAAAATAGGCTTAGCAGAACTAATTCATTACAGAAAGTTAAAGGTAAGAAAATTCAGTGTTTTGCCATAGCATAACTATGCATAAATATAGCAACATTAACATAATTTCACTTCAGTAACGAAGTAGTCCGAGTAACTTACTGAGTATAAAAACTCACAGAGCTGCGAGTTCAAGTCCGTCTAAAGATGTACATTTTTATTTGGCAAAATCTTATCTTTTGTCTCGCTGCCATTGTTTTCTTTGACCCATATACTATCTATATACAATCTTGTACGAAAACCTTGTTTTCTATCTGCTTAGCTTATTCTTTATTTCTACATTCTTCCGAAATTTTATTATATTTTATAATTTTGTTAATTTAAGCATACCCGCAGCTTTAACTTAACTCCTTTGTTTGTGGTTAGGTGTTAAGCCACTAGCTTTAACGTTGTTTACTATCTAATTGTACACAGCTTCTTTAGACAGTTAATTTATGTATATTTTCTTGTTATGGAATCAGAAGAGTTTAGAGTCAATGATGGCTTACGACAAGGAGATGTACTAGGCCCCATCCTGTTCAATATTGTACTAGATGATGTAATGAAGGAAACTAGAGAAGAAACATCGAGATTATTTGTTGGACATAGAAACCTGGAAATGATACAGATTGCGGAGTGCGCATTTGCAGATGACCTCGTCGTATTTGGAAGAAACGAGGACGCACTTAAGAGAAACCTCCAAATATGGAGAGATAAACTTGAGAAACGCAATCTGAGAATTAATGAAAGTAAAACCAAAGTGATGGTATGTGGGAAAACAGACCAACATACAAACATTAAAATCAATAACTATACTTTAGAACAAGTAGAAACCTTCAAATACCTGGGAGTGCAACTAGAGAGTAAGGGTACACAAGAAGCAGAGATAAATAATCGAATAGCAAACGCTTCCCGGATATACCATGCAATTAAGAGCACATTCCTATCGAAAAAAGAAGTATCCCAAAAAGCAAAGATAGCTATCTACAACACAGTTTTTGTACCTATCTTAATATTTGGATGTGAAAGCTGGACGCTCACCACCAGACTAAAAAGTAAACTGCAAAGTATATCAATGAAGTATCTAAGAAGAGTACTAGGGGTGACCAGAATGGACAGGATACGGAACAATAAAATAAGAGAACGCCTTAAAGTCCAGTCAATAGAGAAGAAAATCGAAGAAGCCCAACTGAGATGGTACGGCCACATGGTAAGGATGAATAAAAAAAGCCAAGTGAAACAAGTGTGGGAAGCGAGAAGAACCTTGAAAAGACCGAGGGGCAGACCCATGAAGACCTGGGACGATGAAATTGCCGCCATCCTAGACAGGAGAGGAGTCACCAAGGAGCAAGCGAAGAAGTTGGCAAGCAACAAGAAGAATTGGAGGAAGTTTGTACATGAAAACTAAAAGAGACTTTACACCCAACACCTTAGGGTAGAAGGGTTATTGATTATATATATATATATATATATATATATATATATATATATATATATATATATATATGTATGTATGTATATATATATATATATATATATATATATATATATATTTGTATTTTTTTATAAATATTCAAAGTTTATAAAGAAAATTTTATCCGACATTATTTGTAGCAAATTAAATTGTCAAGAACTTTATTTTTATTGCTCTTAATCGGAAAATCGAAAATAAAAATTTACGCATAAACCAAACAACTAAAAATGTTTGAACAAATTGTCATTTAAAAAGTTGTTTTTGCATTTTCTTTGATGGTCCATGTTGTGGTTCAGGATCTAATTCAGTATCGAAAGTGAATGTTTGCGAAAGAACAGAAGTTAATTATTATTGAGTTAATTCCTCGACAACTAAGATCATTGGCATGGTACAGTCAGGTACCTAGTGTAGTGTTTGTGTGTCATAGAGAAATGTGTGTGTAGAGTAATTGTCTTGATACTTAGCAAAGTCGACGTCATTGTCTTTGCTAAGAGAAGCTAATTGTATCCGAACGTCTGCGGTCCCTCAGTACCGATCGCAAAAGGATAGAAATTATTTTCATTCATTAATTTTTAATAAACGAAAATTTCTCCACCCAGATGAGATTCGAACTCACGACCTTTAGGTTTAAAGGTAGGCGCTCTTACCACTGAGCCACAGAGGGGGTTAGAACAGAAGTTAGAATTGGCTTATTGTGGGTAGTTCATCTTCGAATTTTTCGAATAATTTTGATATTTATATGACATCACGGCAGGTTTTACCAGAACAAGCCAGGCACACTGCAGAGCATTTTGGTATAATTTTTGGCAACCACACATATTTCCACAGTTTCCGTTGCACCTGCAGAAAATTAATTTCAAACATTCGGGGAGTGCTGGAGTTTTGAAACTTTTGATTAGTATCGAAATTTTTTCACGCTTTTTGCAGCCCCAATATTCAGGATTGAGTGTGTTCTCTTTTCTGATAAACTCTAAGATTGTGGAAACGAGCTGCATCTTGTGTTGTCCAAACCGATGATTGGTTAAAGGTATTTTTGACTACGGTCTTGGGGAATCATTTGTATGCTTGCTGCACACTGAATGCTGTCAAAGAGTTATAATTATTTTCACCATCTATTGAGACGAAAAAGCGTTCGCCAACATAAGCGGGCAAAGATGGCTCGGATTTCTCACTGAAAAATAATGCTGTTTCGTTTATAATGCTTCGTTAATAACAATAACTTATGAACACGTTTTTCAGTCATGATTTCTTGTTTTTTGTTGCCCGGCTGTGCGTGTTTTAATCGTTCATCTAACTGTAGATAAGTAGAGCAAACGTCTAGTCTAGGAGATCCAAAGCCATGACAAAAATCACGTGATGCGCCCTACACACTCTGATTGGTCCAATTGGAGAATGTTAATTTTGCTGCAAATCATGTGTTGGATAATGTGACTTATAATTCAGAACTACATTTTCAGTATGGTTTTTCGATATTAAAATGTGAGTTTTGGTTCAAAATATTATTACTGTTCGATGCGCCTTTAAAAGACGAATTGATTGATATACATAACTGAACATATGAAAATTTGGAGAATGTGAATTTTGCATCTACACAGTTTAATACTAATAGATCTAATTGATTTAATATGTTTAAATACTGCTTTATTGTTATTCTTATAGACCGATACTGCCCTATTTTACGACGCTATCTGGTACCTGCATGACACTATAAGGTTACTAGGAAGAGTTTCCCTCTTTACAAGTCCAATAGATTGTAACGGTACCCAGAAATTTACGAAAGGCATGGAACTCTCGATCGCCATGAAAAACGTAAGTATCGTTTAACTTGTTTAACTCCTCATTTGTCATTTAACTATCGGTTACTATAATTTTTCGAAAGTAATTCTGTTTGTTCATTGGCGCATTAATACCTCGAAGAAAGGTTGTCACTCAATCTTTTGCGCGGTCGTCCGATATTTCTTTTGCCGATTGTTGTCAGATTGGCATGATTAATTTGCATTAAGTCAAAAAATTACTAAAAGTATCTATTTAATATACAGAGTGGCCCAAAAGTCTGGAAACGGCTAATTATCTCGTAAAATGCTAATTATAATATAAAATTTAAGGTACACCTATTTTGGGAAACGGAGATTCCATATTTGATATTTACAATGTTGCCAGATTTGCCGTTTTTCTTATATTATTAGTAACTTTGGTTTTTCAAATACATCACCCTGTATATTCAGTCATTATTGGAATCTCCTATTCAATACGAGTTCAATCATATATAACACTTATGATTTTATGTAATCGGGAAGGTCATAAATACATAAAACCGAAGTCTGGCAACGCCTAAATTGTTTCAATAAATTTTTTAATACTATTTTCAAATACATTAAAACGTAACAATTGATAGTTAAGAACATCTTTTAACATAGTAGTTACGTTATTAAGTGTTCAAAATGAGCTCAATTTGTTAGTTGACAGCACCCTAATCGATGGTAGAAGGCGTCTACCACATTTCTCCATGATTGTCTAGAAATTATTTGAGATTCATTGATAATTCGTTGCATTAGCGCTGCCAGACTTGCTGGTTAAGTTTTGTAAACTGAATTTTTCAAGTATCCCCAATAAAAATAATCTTTAGAATTGAAATCGGGTGAACGTGGAGGCCATTCAATTCTACCTTGTCTACGAATTTATCGTCCAGGAAATATCTCATCTAAATATCGCCGAACATTTACACCAACTATCCGACGTTAAATTTCTTTCGACAAAAAATGACCCAATTGAATAAGTAACTACTACATCTGACCATACATTAAATGTTTGTGGTCTTTGAGTATGGTTTTCACGCATTAAGTCGTCAGTGTGAATTTACTTCACACCAGTACCTTAAATTGTGTCGATTTACACTTCCACACAGTGTAAAAGTTGCTTCGTCGGAAAAACATATTCTGTTAACAAAATTTTAATAATTTTCAATTTTTTCCATCATTACCTCAGTAAACTCTAATCTACGACCAAAGTCATCTTCACTTTTCTTGCAATAACTTAATTTTGTATGATTTAAATTTATTTTCACGTAATAAACGTTAAACTGAAGAATGACCTACATCATGTACTTGTGCAACCATGCCTGGGGATGTATGTGGATCTTCAACAAAACTTTGCTTATATCTGAAGTTTTGTTGTCATTGATAAGTCGTTTCGGTCAACCTGATCGGTATATATCTTTTACTTCTCCAGATTCCTCAAATAGCCTTACAGTTTTGTGTACCGTCGTCTTATGAATAGGAGAACGGTTTAGAGAACGACATTTTAGAGAAGCAATTTAAATTGCAGAACTTTTTGAACCCCAACTACTGTCAATTTTAATTCATAATTTAAATGGTGAACAAATGTCAAAATCACAGCATTCTCCATTTAAATATTTAAATTTATTAAAATCTACATATTTTGCACTGTTTTATGTATTTAAGATCTTTCAGACTACATAAAATCAAGTGAATATATGGTTGAAATCGTATTGAATAGCTGAACTCGTGTGAAATTCACACTAAATGCGTGAAAACCATACTCAAAGACCACAAAAATTAAATGTATGGTCAGTTATAGTAGGTACTTATTTAATTGGGACATTTTTTATCGAAAGAAATTTAACGTCAGATAGTTGGTGTAAATGTTCGGCGTTATTTAGATGAGATATTTCCCGGACGAAAAATTGGTGGACAAGGTAGAATTGAATGGCCTCCACGTTCACCCGATCTCAATCCTAAAGATTATTTTTATTACAGATACTTGAAAAATTCAGTTTACAAAACCTAACCAGCAAGTCTGGCATAGCTAAGGCAACGAATTATCGATAAATCTCGAATAATTTCTAGACAATCATGGAGAAATGTGGTAGACGCATTCTACCATCGATTAGAGTGCTGTCAACTCACAAATGGAGCACATTTTGAACACTTAATAACGTAACTATTATGTTAAAAAATATTCTAAACTATCAATTGTTACGTTTTAATGTATTTGAAAATAGTTAGTATTAAAAAATGTATTGAAACAATTTTTAGGCGTTGCCAGACTTCTGTTTTATGTAGTTATGACCTTCCAGACTACATAAAATCATAAGTGTTACATATGGTTGAACTTGCATTTAATAGGAGATTCCAATAATGACTGAATATACAGGGTGATGTATTTGAAAAACTAAAGTTACTAGTAATATAAGAGAAACTGAAAATCTGGCAGCATTGCAAATACCAAATATGGAATCTCCGTATCCCAAAATAGGCGTATCTCAAATTTTGTATAATTATGTCTAGTAATTTACGAGATAATTAGCCGTTTCCAGACTTTTGGGCCACTCTGTATAAATATTTTGTGTATAAAGCATGTAATCTTTTTTATAATTAAAATATTTTAGCGGTATCCAACTGTCGGTCTCACAGGTCCTATTCAATTTGACGAAAAAGGTAGTCGAATTGATTTTAATATATTTGTGATGGACGTAACGCACCAAAAAACTATTGCGACGTGGTTTGAAGCCAACAAAAGTCTTAGCGTGTTCTCAACGGCCGACGAAACAGTTACTGCTGTGACAAATCTCCAACATACTAAGGTTAAAGTTGTTTCAAGGTCAGTATATAAAATCTTTAGTATTAGCTTTGGGGACATGTATGGCAGAAACGAACAATTGTATGAGGGTATAGAGAGGGAAGTTTGGCTTCGAGCGTAATCTACTTGCGACATGTCGTAATAATACTAATTCTACTAATCTAAGTTCGCAATAAAATTAACGGAAAAATAACTTAAATCTACACTCAGGTGCCATATAAACACGACAGGTCAGTTGGTTAAAAGGCTATAGCGGGATAAGATGGTCAAAATTGCACCATGCTCGATTCAGTTTTGGGCCTGGCCATTCGAAAGGACATAATTAAAAACTTACTCAGTTAAATTTTCAAGTCCCTAGGTGCCTCGGGGGTTTTTAGACGCTGTATTGCTACAAAAAATCTAAAAAAAATTCATGAAAGCTTAGTTTAATAATACAATACTATCTGATTTTTTTCAGATTTTTAGCTTAAAAATTGAGCAAAGGAAAAATATTTGAAATTTTCAGTAATATTTTAGGTTATGTCGGAAATTTTTGGCCAACTTTACAATGTTTTTTTATGGGTTTTTTCCCGTTCTTTCGAATGGCATAGGTATTATTATCATTTTCAACGTGGAAAATGCCTAAAAATCGAAAAAACTGCTTTTTTGGCATTTTTCTGAAGCACCCCCACCCCTTAACAATAAATTGTATGGGCCTAGGAACAAAACAAAAAAAAATAAGTATTACATAGGAAACAAAAAATTTATTTAACTGCCATAAGATACAATAATATCAGTTTTTATAAAATAAAAAAATATTAATATGATTAACATAAATTAGGTTTTTTAGTGAGATGGATGACTCGTAACCTTAACAACATACATCTAAATTAATGATACTTCATATTTTTATATGTATTCTTACCTTTACAATCAAAACAAGCTATTAAAACTATTAATTTTTTCCTACAGCATGCTAAAAAAAAGAAAAACCCCGTTTTTTCGGCCTTGTTTTTAAGCTTTCGCTATATAACCTCTAAAGTCAGTGTCTAAGTGAATGGTAATTTACATTTTCACATGTATCTTTCCCTTTACAATCAAAATCAGTTATTCAAAGCACTAGTTTTATCTCACAACTTTCTGAAAAACCGAAAAACCCCGATTTCTCCATGTTTTTACTACATAACCTCAAAAGACTCTGAAAAATGAATCGTGAATTAGAACGTACTTGTACACTCAAAAGTTGTGAACTTATAAGCTAGAGAATAATCCACATATTTACGTGATATTAGATCACAATGTACAGTTGCGGTCACGGAATAGTTTACAGGTTCACGTATCTAGGAGCCCATTTTTTAAATTTTTACTTCGTTTAAACGCACCTTTTACGTCAAAGTGACGTTGCCAGTGGTGTACTAGCTAGAATAGGTAGATTAAAATTAAAATATCAAAATATTTTACAAAATGAAAAATATAGAAAACAGTTTTTTGAATAAAATGGATTATGATCTTAATAACGAAAATAAAGAAGTCTTTTTTTTTAATATGCATTTTATTTTAAATCAATTTTATATTAAATAACGATAAACAATGATAAATAATAATTAATATTTGGTGGAAGCCCCATTCTTGTCAATACAATTTTGCAGTCTTCTGTTCATAGATAGCACCAATCCCCTCATGTTATAGTTAACAAGCTCTTCCCATGCCTGCTCAATTGCTTCCCATAATTCAATTCTATTCCGTGGTCTAAGGTTTCTTTCATTTAGTTTCTTTGTTAACTCTGCCCACACATTTTCGACGGGGTTAAAGTCTGCACTACGGGAAGGCCACGGAAGAACATTAACATCAGTTTCTTCTAGCCATTCTCGAACAATTCTACTCGTATGCACCGGGCAATTGTCATGTTGGAAGATAAAGTCGTTATCTTCCAACAAAAAAAATCGAAAATACAACCCTAGACCAAAAATTCTCATCGCGGTTTATAAATTCATTACAAAATTCAACTCGTCTCAATTTATACACAAACGCATATCTATATAGTTCCATGACTTCTGAGATCCTTGTTATATAAATTCATAAGCTCGTACCATGCTCGTCCAAGTCTTACTCTTCCGCTTAGATACAAGAGCCGTATACCTATGTTTATATTATTATTATTTTATTTTATATTTTATATGTATTTAACTGTTTTGGCCTGCATGTCTTAGCCCCACATCCCGCATATCCAGGGAGCCTGATTGTAACAGAAAACATAGCGTTGATAGTTGCGCCACACGGTAGTTGATATTAGGCGGCGCAAGTACCAACGCCATGTAAATTTGATATAATCAGGCTCGCATTATATATTGTTCTTAGTGCGTTTGCGGGTGTAGGGTCATATTGTCTGTATCGCTCTTAGTCAGTTTGCGTGTAAGGGCCTTTATCTTTTCGGCGGGGCTTTTCCTCAAATGTTAAGTAGCTGTCTGTTTTTGTGTTTATTTTGAATTGATTTTGAATTTGACAGCAGAATTGTGTCGTGTCTAAAATAACAGGCAACAATAACCAGTATTATTGTTTTATATTGTGAAGCAACAAATTCTTTTTTTACTATAACGTCGACCCTATGCATTGTGGTTATTTATTGGTCGGAGGTTAATATTAAAGTAAACATCATAATGGAGGTTCACGAAAGACAATGCTGTATCTTTATTTACACTGCGTTTCGACGTTCTGCTGAATAGCTATACATATAAAATATAAAATAAAATAAAAATAATATAAACATGGGTATAAGGATCTTGTATCTAAGCGGAAGAGTAAGGCATGGACAAGCATGGTACGAGCTTATGAATGTATATAACAAGGATCTCAAAAGTCATGAAACAATATAGATATGCGTTTGTGTATAAATGCATGTACATTATGATATAATATCACGTATATATGTAGATACGAGTATATTCGCATAATTCCACAACTTTTGAGTGTACAAGTGCGTTCTAACTCACGATTCATTTTTCAGTCTTTTGAAGTTATGTAGTAAAAACATGGAGAAATTGGGGTTTTTCGGTTTTTCAGAGTGTTGTGAGATAAAACTAATGCTTTGAATAGCTGCTTTTGATTGTAAAGGGAAAGATACATGTGAAAATGTAAATTACCATTCATTTAGACACTGAATTTAGAGATTATATTGCGAAAGCTTAAAAACAACGCCAAAAAAACGGTGTTTTTCGTTTTTTTTTAGCATGCTGCAGGAAAAAAATAATAGTTTTAATAGCTTATTTTCAAGAAACGATGGAAAAAACCCATAAAAAAACATTGTTTTAAAGTTAGCCCAAAAATTTTCGACATAACCTAAAATATTACTAAAAATTTCAAATATTTTTCCTTGGCTCAATTTTCAAGCTAGAAATCTGAAAAAATCAGGTAGTATTGAATTATTAAACTACGCTTTCATGAATATGTTCAGATTTTTTGCAGCAATACAGCGTCTAAAATTTTTTTTTGAATACGTTTTTTCCCATATTGAACCCCCAGAGGCACCTAAGGACTTGAAAATTTAACTAAGTGAGTTTTTAATTATGTTCTTTCGAATGGTCATTTTGACCATTTTTTTATTAAATTTTTGTCCAACTTTAATATTTTGTACAAACTATACTGAGTGTTAAACAACAGGCTTACACTATCTACATATCCGGAACTACATACACGATATTTATGAAAATTTTGACATGCATATCGAAAATGAACAACTAAAAGTCTGTAAAATGTACTAAAGGTCAAAACTTCATATCGTTTTAGTTATTCATCATCTTAAAACAGTTTTTGACAGAGACAATCTTTTTAAGTTGATACCTCATTTATTAGCAGAGGTTGGGACACATGAGCCTGCGAAAATTTTTCGGGCCATGCGAAAACGAGGCATCCTTTGATGTGCTTTAAGGTGTGGCAGGTGAGTGTGGAAACTCTCTTCTCGTCTTCATTTTGGAAAATTGGTCTTCTTTTCATCTGTCATGACGTCTGTCATGTCAATTCGTCTTCTTGTCTTATATAATGTCTATTACTTCTTGTAATATACAGGGTGTAGTTAAAAAGTCAAAACAATTCATGTTGTATAGAGGATAGTTGCGAGCTGTCGCTGAAAAGGATTTTAGTGAATAGGATGAATATAGAAAAATTAGCGGGCAAATTACATCATAAAGCAACAATATTAGGGATGGGATAAGCAACATAATTAGGTATTGCAAATAAGCAACATTAGCGGTAGGGATCATTAGGGATGGGATAACATACATTAATAAGAATAGGGATAAGTAATAATGGGTCACTGCACTTTAGCAAAAAATGGAATTGTTGACATAGATTAACGTAGTGTATTTCCGATGTAAAAGCATAAGGGCTGTAAAAGCATAACGAGTTGTATATTTAAATAAGAATGTATTTATTATAATTTAAATATATTCCCGGTACTAGTGAATTCCTAATATATTTCTCCACGAAATATAAAATGTAGTAAAAATGTTTATCCTGATACTTAGCTTAGCTTTATACAGTAATTTACAGGTATTTTTTCGGGTTTAAGTTTGACTTTATTTGTTGTAGTAATTTATGATACAAGTGATGTACTTATTTCTAGTAAATTACATAAATCATATATTTTATGCTATAGACTTGGCGAACCCTACTTGACCTACAGGATACCGGAAGAAGATGGCAAGGAGTTAGAAGGAAACGCTAGGTTTGAGGGCTATTCAATGGATCTGATATCAAGCATCGCCAAAATAGTTGGTTTCGAATTTGAAATTTATGTTGTTGAAGATAATAAGTATGGCTACTATGATGAAGAAACAGATACTTGGACTGGGCTAATTGGCGATATTATTAGTCAGGTATACATAATTGTTATAATTGGTTTCAAATTAGTGTAGAGTAATAAATCATGAAGTGTCATAAAATTTGCCTGAATTTCGGTGTCGTCATGGGCGTAGGCAAATGGACGGATGTCAACTTCGTCGTCAAAAATTGATGTACCTCAAAATATCATATTTTGGATATTTTGTGATAATCAATTTTATTTAATTTTTCGATTAACTTATTCTTCAAACTCGTATTCCATTATATGGTCATTAAAGCTAATTACATTTTTATTTATAAAAACAAATTCACTTCCTTACTGAACGAATAAAAGCATTAGAAGAAACTGATAAGGGTATGACGCACCTCCTAATATTACTAAGAACTAAAATAAATCAACATGAAAAAGAAGAAAAAGTTATAAAATGGCGACATTTACTCCAAAGAAAAGAGGTGTAAAAAATTCTCCGCTATCTGTTAGTGAAAAAGTTATAATTTTAAATGTATATGATTGCATAAAACACGATCACCCTAGTTTGTCTGTGCAAGAAAGTGTTGAGCGATGTGCCCGAATGACTGGAATTGGACAGTCCACGATTTTTAAATTATTGCGAGAAAGAAAGATATCAGGCCAGTTAAGTCCATGCAAGAGAAAATCAGGAAGACCAATAAAAATCTTAGGTGAAGACACCAAACGTGACATTCGAAGAAAAGTTTATTCGGTTTATTTTAAAAAGCAGACCACCCTTGACAAAATACTAATGGAGATAAGCCAAGATAACGATATTCCTTTGATATCCAGAAAACTTTTATGGAAAACTTTAAAAAGTATGAATTTTTCCTGGGAAAAGCACAATCGAAAGGCACTATTACTGGAAAGTGATGAAATCATTTGCTGGAGACGAAAATATTTGAGAACTATAAAACAGTACCGCAGAGAGCACAAGAAAATTTTTTATCTTGATGAGACGTAGATAAACGAAGGTTATATAGTCCAAAAAATGTGGCAAGATAAAAATGTAACAAGTGCTCGCCAAGCTTTCATAGAAGGCCTTACGACGGGTATTAAAGTGCCTTCGGGAAAAGGGAAGAGGCTTATAATTGATCACATTGGAAGCGAAGAAGGATTTTTAAAAGAAGGTTTGTTAAGCTTTGAGTCGTGTCGGACGGGAGATTATCATGAGGACATGAATTCGGATGTCTTCGAAGACTACTTCGGGGAAATGTTAAAATTTCTTCCAGCTGATTCGGTCGTGGTTATGGATAATGCAAGCTACCATTCAAGGCGCATGGAGAAGGTACCAACTTTAGCTTGGAGAAAGCAAGAAATTATTAACTGGCTGTCAAATAAAGGTATTCAGTTTGAGACGAATTCAATAAAGAAGGAACTACTAGCCGTAGTAAAACAACATAAATCTCGCTTCATAAAATATGCCGTAGAAGATGTAGCAGAAAAGTATAAAGTAACTGTGCTACGCCTACCGCCATATCATTGCGAATTAAATCCCATAGAACTTATATGGGCACAAGTTAAAGGATATGTTGCAAGGCACAATACCACATTTAAAATGAAAGATGTCAAGGTATTGTTTGATCAAGCCATTATGGAAATCACATCAGAAAACTGGCAAAAAGCAATCCAGCATGTTTTAAAAGAGAAGATAAAATGTGGGAACTGGACAACTTGGTCGATCAGGTGGTTGACCCTATAATTATAACACCAGGGGATGATGACAGTTCTTCGGATGAAGACTATAGTGATGTAGAATTGTAATAACGTATCCAGTAAAGTTTTTGTAGTTTTTGTGAATAAATTGATTTAAACTCCCCACAAGTGTTTCAATATGTAAAGTTCATTCGTGTGTGTTTGTGAGTATTTCCCGATTTCGGTTCGTATATATTTTATTGTTACATTTTATATTTTTTTAATAACACTGTTCTGCTGTATTACATTTTTATTTCCTTTAATATGATTTTTAAGAATGCATATTCTTTTGTCAATTAACCCACTAGTGCGCCTCTGGCTCAGTGTTTATCTGTCGATAACAATGGACTAATCCCTTAAAACAGGGTGATACCTACCTGCTCTTTATGAAACGACAGAATTTTGCAATGCGGACGGAATTTATTGACGGATTATTGACGGATTACCCTGTAGCGCTTTTGAATACTTCATGAGAGTTTATTACTCTACACTCATTAGAAATACATTATAGATATTTTGTTGGTATTGACATTACTGATATAGTCAGCACTATCTTGATTGCAATAAATAAATTCTATTTTTAATTTTAAACTAAAAAAAGTGACGTTTAATTAACACTTTTAAAAACAGAAAACTGTGACAGATTTTTTTGGCGGTGTACAAAAGTAAAACACGGGTACCAATTATTTATTCTTAAAAAAGGTTACAATTTTTTTTTCAGTTATTGTTATTATAAGTTTTCGTTGTTTATTTATGTTTATAACAAGGGATACGTTTATTTTGAATTATGTTTACTGCTCTATTTCTCAGAAATTTACACAATGCTCATTTCAATTATTCCTGGTTTCAATTTTATTTTAAATAAAAGAGACTGGCAAAAAATTAGCAAAGAAAGTAATTTTAACTACCTAGCCAACAAAGCCGTGAATATATTTAATTATCGAATATCTTTAAGTTGACGCAAAAATATTTGCAAAGAGACATTATCATCATCGCTATCATCATCATTATTTCCATCATCGTCATAAGCATTATTATCATCATTGTAATCATTATTATTATAAATTAACCCTGGCTTGACCACTGTTCTAGGCGTTCTTTAGATCTTTCTATCTATCTTTGTACCTCTGTCTTTCAGTTGATCCAAAATATTTTAAGGATATCGAGCCACCGTGTTATGATCATCCCAGGTTCATTTGTCTGCACTTAAGCATTTTTTTGCCAATCCGCAGTGTTAGGACATTTTTATACCAAATAACATTTAATTAGAAAATTAGTTTAGTGCGGCAACATAAAGCCTGTTACATGTCGGTGTGTTTTGTGTTCCAAAAAAAAAAACAATCTGACAGGATCAAGTCGGCAAGTGACATAACTTAGACATTATTCAAATAATTTCCAAGAAGACGTCACGTTTTCATTATTCACAAATTTACATGTATTAAGTAGTTTGTATTGTATAAAGTTACTAAATATAATTCTATTTATTTGCACAAAAATAATTTACAGTCCACACCAGGTTAATAACATTTATCTACCATAAGATAATCCAACATATTTTGGTCACTTCCAGTCGGATAGTGTGAGTAAAATAGAATCCATAGTTGTAACAAAAGGCAGTTGAAAGGTCGAAAACAGTCCCATTTACCATTTGGAGGATGATGCTTCAATGCATGCTTATGCAAGTTGCATTTATGTATGCAGCATAGATGCAGAAAACAAATACCATTCCCACATTCTGTGTTCAAAAACAAAGGTCGCTCCTATTAAATCAATAACAATACCTAAACTTGAATTGTGTGCAGCTTTGTTAGGTTCTCAATTAATTGACAAGGTAACCAAATCTTTATCAATTCGAAATGTGCCAATGTACATGTGGTCTGACTCAAAAATTGTATTAAGTTGGCTAAAACTGGAACCTAGCCAGTTACAAGTATTTGTTGCCAACAGGGTAACAAAAATACAATCACTCACCAGTAGTGATAGTTGGCATTATGTCAATACAAAGGAAAATGCCGCAGATATAGCTAGTCGCGGAATATTTCCTGAATCCTTTCTTGAATCACAACTGTGGTTCCAGGGACCGCAGTTTTTAAGACAACATCCCGATTTGTGGCCTAATGATTCAACTGATGACGTAATTGAATTACCAGAGCTTAAACGATCTGTTCAAGTATCACTTCATTCCACTGTTCAGAACAGCTGGATTACTAATTTTATTACGAGATTTTCCAATTTGCATAAAATGAAAAGAGTTTTTTCATATGTAATGCGTTTTATTAGAAATATTAAAAATAAAACAAGAGTCCCTAGCTTACTTTTAACTGTGCATGAAATCAATGACTCATTTCTGCTATTGATTAAACTTGTGCAAGCAGAATCCTTTCATGATGAAATTTTATGTTTGTTAAATGATAAACCATTGAGCAAAAAAATCCAGATTGCTTCATTTGTCTCCCATATTAGATAACGGATTACTTAAAGTAGGTGGTAGACTCATGCATTCAACATTGCCAGATAATGTAAAAACACCAATCCTATTGCCAAAATTTCATGTATTAACCAAGTTAATTTGTACACACTACCATGTCAGTAATTTGCATCCTGGACAGTGGCGGCTTTTCTTTATGTGCTGCTGAGCTGCAGAACTACCAAACAACCATAGCAAATCTTAATTATTAAAGAATAATTAATATAGTTTTATTTCAAATCTGCCATATTATCATATTAAACATAAACTGTTAATAATAATTCACCAACAACGATGATTAATATTATTTTTTTTACGTATTTACTCCTCTAGTGAAACCGTATAATTTTTTTACGTATTTGGTGCTCCAGTGAAGCAATCTTTTTACGTATTTGCTGCTCCAGTGAAGCCGCGTCGATAACAACCGAAACACTGGCAGCGGTTAAATGCATTTATTAGGCAAACGGCGATCTTAGCCGATGTGCTTCGGCAATCGGCTGATTAACGGCCTCGGAAATGTGTTTGCGAGCTGCAATTCACGACAGTTATTCGTGACCGTTGCATCTGTGCCAGAGAACTACGAACGCAGAGAAGCGACACTCCTTTCATCTTGCGTGGGCAAGCCGCCAACGAGTGAAAATGACAGGAAAGCACCTTATTTTTTAATAGTCAGTGGGCATATTACACAATATAAATTCTTAAATAAAATTTAGCATTTATGTTGACTTTCAATAAATATGAAATATTGCACATGAAATATATTTGTATTTATAAATAATACTTCATTACTTACAACTATAAGAGTATTAGTATATTCGAAGTGTATTGTAAATAATGAAGTATTTAACTTTTGTCAATATCTC